GAAGGAAAAGAAATTCATAGCAGTTTCTATAATGTCGACCAAAATCTGCCATGATAAAATGTAAGTCATTGTTGAAGGAGTTATCCGATGCATAGAATGGGAATCAAGTAGTATCCCCATAGATAAACTTTTGAACCACCTGATAACTTATGTTAGCTAAAGATAGCTTTTCTTCAATTATTACTTCAATTTTATTTCATCTCCCATAAGAGGTCCTTTTGAAAAATATTTCTTAGTTTTGACAAAAGTATACGAGGGCCAAGGCAATTGAACAAATAACCATTAGGTAATAGTTGTAATAATTGATATATCAAGCGGCCAAAACATTCTAATTATGATTGCTTTGCACTATTTACTAAAAAAAATGATCCAGTAGATATATACAAAGTTACACCTCACTTGACTTTTATATATTTCACTTGAGTTCTTACCGTTTAAAGGTGCCGGCAATTCTTCAAGGAAGTCAAATCGGCTGAATTCCCCAGGCTTGTTTGGCATTGCAAATATCATTGAGTGCTCCTTCCACTGCAACCGATCATTGATACCAAGTTCTCCAAACAAGTTCTGCATATTTGGATAGGCCCCAACTTGCCAACAAAACAACATATGATGAGAGTAATTTAAGTCAATAGATACTTTAAGCAAAGAAAAGAAACACTTCCATAAGCATCCTAGTAACTGGGCAAATTACAAATTTATGATAGTCATGATATGCTCAAGAAATTCTTCATATCTCCTACAAAGCCTATCCAGAAAAAAGATGCTGCAAATAGATGAATAAATCAATGGAAGCACAAGAGGGAAGGGACATAGCGCATCCATTTAAAGGCCACTAGGAAGAAATTTGCGTGTGTATGTACAGACCCAAGCTTTAGTTTTTAAGGGATAGAGAGGAACACCCAGAATCAACAGTTTTGCCCAAGCATCCAGTAAGCAGTCTCAGTATAACAGCCTTGAACCTCCCTCCCTCTACCAGCATACTACAGCCTTAAACCTCCCACCCTCCCGAGCACCCTCTCTCTTTCTCCTTGTCTCTTTTCTGCAGTTGATCTACTTTTCGCAATTAAATATCATTATGAGCAAAGGATTCAAGATGTTTCAAAATATTAGCTCCAGATATTTGTCATAATCGAAAATAACCTACGGCCAGAAGTTTCTCATAATTGCTCAGCCAAACTTTGATATATTCTAAGCAATCAATTTCAAATTTGTGAACCTCAAATCTGCAGAAGCATTATTTGTATATCCCGCGTTGCCAAACGCAACGATGAATAGTAAATTATAACAAAATTCGTAATATAAGGATGAAACTAGAGAAAAAAAAATGAAACCATTATGACAGTTAAAAAATTGGTTGATGATCATTGGAAAGCTTAAATAAAAGAAAAATACCAACTTTATTTATGCATCACATGGTATATTCTAGTTTGACCAATGAGCACAAACCATTATCATGTGGGGCAACAAACTAGTCAAAGAAAAAATATATAACCAACAAATAGTTGAATAACAAAAAAGTGAACTGTCTACATCTCTTCGTGCAGCCACATAAAGAGTTTATACTTAGAAATCAAGGGGACTAGATAGAGAAAGATTATTTGAACTTACAGAATATATGTAAGCCTGTCTCATACCAGTCTCCATCATCATCTTTCCATGCAGCCACCTAATCGGAAAGACACAAAAGCCTCAACGGTCAACACAAACTCTTAAATGATGAGTGTAATACGCAGTTAGAAACTAGAGCGTACAATTATTTCCTTCTAATAATAATAAAATATTAACAGTGTGGCAGAACCAAAAGTATACAGCAATTTTAAACCTAGTAAGAAAATTATGAACAAGATCTTAGTATTATTTTCTTTCTTTCGCAATTTCTATAAGATTGCGAAAGCATGAATCTTTTTCCAAAAAGGAAGCAGTGGTGAACACATAGTAAGGATACTCAGCTCCAGGAAACCCAAAAGACACAATATCAATGCTTCCATAATCTTAAGCACACCGAGTCTCTAAATTGAAGATTAATTACCATTTATCAAGAATAAAAAGAAGAACAAAAATATCTATAATAGCTAGAAAAAACAGGTCAGGGATGGGGGGCGAAAGGCAAGCACAAGTTCAGTTTCTTGTCAAAGATGGGTCTTAAATAGAGCAGCACAAAAACCTTTCCACCTAGAACATCTCTTGCTTCCAGCAACAAAGGCTTGTGACCTGCATCTGCCAAATATTTTGCAGTCGATAAACCAGCCAAACCTGAAATAATTTTGCAGTCACTTGTTAAATTTCACAACTAGACACATAAAGAAAAGGAGATAGAACATAAAGGCAGATCACTCGTTCAATCTATGTCCTGGAATGAACTTCACTACATTCTGCAAAAATCACTAATATCAGGATAAAGTGTAAACAAACTTTTGGGAATAAGGCAATCAACAACATGAAGAAAAAATGTAAACAAAAAAAGTCAAACTCAAATTGCAGGAACCTAGAATTCAGAGGCGTAGAGCAAATAAACTAACTGGAAAGGCATTCTTATATGGAAAAGCTAATATGTCAAAATGCTTAAAAATTCACTGGCCTGAGGAGTACACTTACTAATAATTTGCAGCATGTTTGTCCCTATTGTTATCAGCCGAAGGCAAAAGATTTCAAAGACAATTACAGACGTAATGATTGAGTTAGAACTTTAAAGAGGGGAAACAATATATCCAAGAAATAAAAGAATCTTTATATCATGCACTTCACACAGTGTGTCAAAAACAGGGCAACCAGCAGCAGTATATACTTGAGTTCACGGAAAATAACAACACACAAAAACTCACAATCAGAAACATCACCAAATTCCTAAAAAGAGTAAAGGAACTGTGCTAGCAGAGGTAGAAGATAAGATTCTTTCACCTGCGCCAGCAATTACGATCTTCAATGGTCTCGATGGACGGGGAGAAGTCCGAAAGGATGAAGACAAGTACGCTGCTTCCAAGAAATTTAAAGTATTATCAAGCTCTGGTCTCGGGTAATCTACACAAACTACCTGCACCACAAGCACCAAAGTAGCAATTACAACTGAAAGGTCCTTGCCCTTCCCCAATACTAAAACACCAACTCGAGAGAAACAAACCTGCAAAGGGCGGGCACCGTTCCTGGACCTAATCTTAACAGCTCGTGCTTCGGGAATTCTCAGGCCGTCTCCAATGGATTCACTAACCCTAAATGCTAGTATGTTGTTTTGATCCAGAGTGTCTCGATAACCACATTTCGAGGCGGCAGAATGAAAGTTTCCAATAGCTATTCTGTTGCTTTGGCAGCCGAAGCTCGCCGCAGAAACACTCCCGCATAAAGTCATTTCAGCAGTTGCCAAACTTTGCTTTTATCGAACAGTTTGAAAGCAACTTCCGAGTCAAAAAGCTTTCCATGGACAAAAAGATAATAGAAGTTAGAGCTGCTGTAAAAATCGAAATGGGCATGCAATTATTAACTCCTCCATAATAGAGACTGAAACTTCTGACACAGAGTTCAGAACAACAAACCCGAAAAAAAAAAAATCAGAATAATTTCCAACTAGTTTTCTCCTTTTCTGATTCTGGGTAATGTCTATCTGGTTTCGTGAAACTAAGAAAGCTGAAAATTCTGTATATTATCTTTGCTCTGACGAGCTCAAAATGAGAAATATCATTAACAACAAACCAAAATGCTAATACCAGTAAAATCGACAACGCTCCCTTCAACCGCACCCAGAAGAAAAACCAGAAGAGAGCTCAATCTCAAGAAAACACGTTGATTTTGTCAATAACACAAAACGGAAAGTGGGCTTGTTGTTGATAACATATGTGGAAGCTGGTGATAGGCATTAACTAAGTGCACTGGCCAAACTTGAGCTTCCCATGTAATTTTGGATTGTAGCGCTCTTCTGATCCCTTGGCTTTGGGGGACTTTTTTTCTTTTCTTTTCGTTTCGTTTCTTTCTTTTTCTCTTTTTGATGGGAGACGAGAATATTCCGATTAAAATGGCAAGAGATAATTAGAGCATTACAGTCCAACATAAATCAAGATTACTTCTTGTCCTCTTCTTAGTTTCTTAAACAATTCGTGGTTCAACGTATCAAAATGTTTGCAACTTTTGTTAAGAGTTCTTTTTTTTTTTTTTTTTTTGTCTTTGTGGAATTCAATTTTTGGTAAGAGTTGCCGATAAGAAATTACTTCTTTTAATAAATGGGTATTATATTAGGAGATATTTTAGCTAATAAATTATTTTAGAAAATTAAAACTGTTAATAAAATTATGTTAGATTATATAGTAAAATAACTTTTGATTATAATTGTAATTAAATTTACTATATGTAATTTTTTATAAGTTAAAATATTTCGAAACTATTATGTATGTATTATTCTTCTTTTGCACTTTTTCTATGGGGATTATGTTAGTAGTTTTATTATTATACCATTACATGATAGACACCAAATATATCTTTAATATAATTTAATATTTGTTAAAAATTTAACATAATATATATTATGTAAAAACTCTGATTGTTTTAGTTTTTATTTTATTCCCTAATTCATTCTTTTAGTTACAAAAGCAATTTTAATAATATGATTGTAATACATTTATTTTTTCTTTAAGGTACTTTCACCTCGATTTTTTTGATGCTATAAATATAATTTACATTTATAAAAATATTAACTGCAATTCTAACATAAAAGATTAAAAGAGAACATGAGGTAACTGATTCATAAAAAGACCATGATAAGTTTTTAAACCATAAATTAACTAAGCATAAAATGGAAATCTCTGCCTTGAAAGTAACATTAGTAATGACTTCCTGCAAATGCCCTATGCATCGTTATTATACATAAATTTCTTCCATTCTTATTGACTACCAGGTCAGCTTAATAGCAAACTTTTTCACTGGTGTACATACATATTCAGCGAAATGGTATATATATGGCACCTGTATAGCCTCATGATGCTAAATGCATCTTGACTTCAACAAACCTGAAGAACAATAATAATAATAAATAAAAAAACTCAAATTCAAGTTCAGAAGAACTTATCACAGAGCAATTTATTTGATTCGCAGTAGAACACATACATTGAGAAATTAGCGTATGCAATTGACCTCCATTAAGCTTTGTTTGGAAGAAATGAGCATTTTCTAAGAAGTTCGTTTGAAAATATACATTTAGTTTAAGATTGAAAAAAAACATTAATCTAAAAATAACAGAAGTTGACTATTTAAAGAATTTATGTAATAAATTCCCAATCTATTAAAATGTAGAAATTCAATTCTGCTAAATTCTTAATTGAGGTTCTTATCATTTTCTAAAAGCTTTTATCTTGTTCTACTTAAACAATGCATATTTCAAACATAATGCGATTAAATACAAAAGAGAAATCAATTCTTTAGTGTAAACAGTAATAAAAACGAACAAGAGAAACAGTCTATTACTTGTTTACATGCTTAAAAAGCCGAAGGGAATATAAATTTTCTCACAAACCTTTAAAAGTCCCGGAAACTCATTTTTGGATCCACCATTTTCCCAGAACCCCGAAATTTTCCCCTACTACCACCTCGCCCCATTCCTCTTCCCCGTCCTCGTCTTCTCATTCCCATTCGTTTGGAAAATGATCTGCCATGTTTCAGCTCCACAAGAGAATGAAGCAACTCATCACAGAGAATACAACCAGTATGCAAAGTAGCTCCATTCTCCAATGGAGTTGTTTTCTTATTGAAGTCCACCTCTAGAATTGTTGAATCACAATCAGAACATCTATCCTGAGTGGTGGCAATTCGGTGAGCACCTTCCGGGAGAAAGACGAGGCAGTTGCATGTATTGCAATAAAGTCTCCACTTGGGTGCACTTACTGGATCTAAAACAAGTGTCCCGCTACATTCTGGGCAAGCACATACACCTTGGGATATCAGAGAATGCCGGCATGTGGGGTGAGGGCAGAGAAAGCATGGCATCCCTGCCCCCTTCCCGAGTTTTCCGAAACTACTGGTCTTAGTGGCACCATACAGTCTCTCTACACCTTCGAAGGGAGGACTATTGTAGCAGTATGGGCAGAGAGGAAAGGACTTGCCTTCTGGACCAGGCATGGAAAGGATCAAGAGCTCAAAGTTGTCAAGTGGACAAGTAAGTTCTTTGTATAGCTGCAAAAAACAAAGTTTCTTGAACATAAGATGACAAGGACAATAATACATCATAAAGTGATGGACCAAAGCTGATAATTATTAACTCTGGATGAAGTTTAACTAGACAGAATAGGTTGAAAGTATATTGCATTTGCTCTAGGAGCCAGTGTCCTTTTTTAAAATCATAAAACTATCATCTTATTTTTTGGTGCCCTTATGTTAGACAACTGTAGGAGACAGCTGTTGCTTTCTTTGGCTTGTCTTAGATGATGGCTGGTTTGGTAGGAATTTTGGAGTGGGCTCCATCAGGTAATTCCGCTACTAACAAGGCCAAGGAGGCATTAATACTGGGCCTTCTGTCAATTTTTTGGATGGTCTGAAAGGAATGGAATATAACAACCTATCATAGGGTCAAGGAGGGCTTATTTTTTCATAAAGCAGAGACGATTACTTAATACTTCAGTTGAAGAGAATAGGGTTTTAGTTATCATCATGTAAACAGGCAACACTCTCATAGAGTCTTGTTGGTAATATTACTATTTTGCTTGAAAAATCACCACATTATATAGATCAGACTCAAGATACCTTGACAGCGCCCTTTTGAGGAAGATAATAAACCTCCTCGCATGTACCACAATATAGACGTGGTGGCTGTGAAGAAATATACTTCATGTACCGTACGCATTTGCCACATTTACTGAGAACACGTCCTGAGTCCACAAGGGGAGAGAATTGTGCTTCAAATAGTGCATCCATGCTCTCAATCTGCATTAAAAAAAAGGCAAAGTTAATTGATGAATAACAAAGAAATTTGGCTCGATCAAGAAGTAAAGAGTTACCCTTCCCGATTTTTCATAGGTCAACAGAAACTGAAGGGTAACACTTGTAAAGTATAGGCATCAGGCAGAAACAATTACATGGATTTAGAAGATAGAGTGATGGTTATCGTGAATGCACACAAAATAAAACCACAAACAATTCAAACATAACAGTTTTACTAGGCTTAAATGTCAAATCTTATAATACATTCTGTGTGAAAAAGATGACATAGGTACGATCAGGAATTTCATATCTAGTGAACCATGCAGATGATAATCAGTGCCTCAAACCATGAAGCCCTTAACATTTTATGTAAATATCCAAGGTCCATTTTCCCGTGCACTTGAAAATTTCTGGAAAAAAATATTATATTTGGTTCTACCTTACTTTATTCTCATTCTAGTCCTAAATTTAGCCATTTGATATGAAGAACTTAATCACAATTTACATATTCGATACACTATCAAATCAACTCCACTTCTATTTTCATTCTACAGCAATAGATTTATCTATCCTCACTTGCCAAAGAAGGGATAACAAAAATGAATGATTTTATTGAACATGAAATTTGACTTGAAATTAGAATATTATTTCCATTCAAATATTATCCTGTCTGTATTATATTTAAATTCTAATGTTTGCTCAGACTTCAGATAAAAATCAGGATTGTTCTGGTGCAGCATTTATGGCAAGGAATAGTACACATAACAAACGTTAGACAACTGTTAACCAACTTTAAGCAATAGTCTTACAAAAGTTTACAGACAAAAATAATAAGTTCACAACAGCTCGTTGTTTCCAATTTCAAAGTGATATTCAAAGGATAAAACATGGTTCCCATGCATCTCCCATGGCATCATCAGGTTGGCATTGATGTACCAAAAATTCTGCTTGGAAACTAATGCACGATAAAAACTTACCAAACACCAATATGCTAAAATTAGTAGTCATTCAGAGGTGAAAATTGGTTTAAGCAGTTGAAGTTTAAGGCCAGAGCAAGTCCCACATGTACAACATACAATAAGGACAGCAGAATGACACATAAAAGCAAGAAATTCAGATAAAATGAGGATGCATAATGATAAAACAATCATATCACACATTGACAATTGAACTGGGTAAAAAGTCGGGAAGTGTAGTGGCAATGTGATTCAAGATAAAGATGAAAAAGAGAAAGATAAGGATAAATATCTATATACATATATGGATAAATGCAAGTGCATTAACATTTTATCCCCTAATTTAAATCAAACAAAATTTCATTTGTATAGCTAAGTCCCTATATAGTAAATAGGCTGGTCCTACCACGGTAAAAGAAAGCATCAACAAGGCCCTCTATGCCTCTTTTTTTCTCAATTGATTCAATAAAATTTGGTGAAACATATTGTCCCAACAAGCCAGCACCATATAGTAACATTGTCTAACCTGCTTAACAAAATAACTGTACTTCTGTTTGAATTGGTTAAGTACGTGATGCACAACAGAAGAATGATCAGCCTGACCCTTTGCAACAAGAGTAATCTGATGCTCAATGAAACTGCGAATGTCTGGTAAACAAAGATCAGGATCAATGCATTGATACCCCCTTATTAGTGTGATTCCTAATGGAGTTGGAACCAACTTCCTGCCAGCTTGTACCTGCGTCAAAGTGAAAGGTAATTCCCTAAGTCATGGAAATCAAGTTCAGGAAATAAAGGAGCATTAAATTGTGAAGAATCAACAATTGACAAACCTGGACATAGTTGCGCTCGCATATGTTGTTAATATGCACAGGTATTGATGCATCAGTACCTATCCCATTTTTCTCCATCAAAGAGATCAACTCACTCTCACTAAGATACTCAGGAGGCACAGTATTTCCCTGTCAATTTAGAAACTCGTGAAGAAACTAAACAGCACATTGCACCAACACAATATCATATTTTTCCTTCTTTGTTTTATAGAAAAAGAAGTATTATTAAAAGAAAGAAAGAGAAATACAATAATGGAGAAGACATTCTCCAAACAGTAACACTATAATAGACAATAAAGATAATGGAAAAAATTAATCATGTGGGAGGATAAATGATTACCCCCCAGTTCCAATGGACCTCAGCAAGAGAATGGTTGCAATAATTCTCGTAAGCTTCGGCTCAAAGGATAGCTAGAAAAGTCAATATGTCCCACATATCTTGAAATGATGAGTAATGATCATCAAAAATTCAAGAATTGTACTCCGTCCAAAGGATCCACAGGCCTCCAAAAATAGCCCCCTGACAAATGGTTTTGGCCCTCCTCAGGACTCCCTCCCCAAGAAAGCTAGTTGGTATTAGCCCGTCCACTGTAAGAGGAACAACCCAATAGAAACCAAACATCGCAAACACCTTAGTTTACATCTTCCATGCTATCTCATAATAAAGGAACAAATCGAAATGAGCTTCGCCATCTTTATAACACATAACATTAGGTACTCAGTGATAGAGCTTGATTGGGCCAACGGATCTATAACATCTCAATAGTGTTGAGCCTTTTGTAAATGGGAATCTAAACAAAAACTTTTACGTTTGAAGAAATTGGAGCATTCCTAAAATTCCTTGGCAATAGAGAACAGGCAACATGTGAGGTCTTTGGTGAGGTGATGAAACAAGGATTTATAAGTATAGGACTGAGGATTCCAACATCCAAATTTTTGTGTCCAGATGTAAATTAATGTGTATTATCTCAAACAAAGATGTCAAATTAAGTATATCAGGAGTCTCCCTTTCAGAAATGTTGCATGTTTCCATGAAACACTACCCTTGGTAAGGGATGCAAAAAATGAAATGGGAGTATTATGTCCATATGAGATATTAAACAACCGAGGGAATTGCGTGGCTAAGGGTCAATCACCAATTGAAGGATCTTTCCAAAACAACACTCTAGAACCATCTCCCACTTTTAGACAGGTTAAAGATGTATAAAATGGTAGGGCTTGGGATATGACTTTTTCAGGGACTTTTGTGAGGCAAGGAACCACAGTATCCTAATTTTTAGTGAGAAGAAGAAAATTAGTGCTTTCCATCCATAAGCAACCAAAGTGATGCTGTGCATTTACAAAAAGGTAAATACAATCACATTGTGACAGCTTTTACAAGATAAAAAAATTCAATCAGGTTGCAAATCTCCATCATCACTGTAGGCTGTTCAATTTTCAGTCTAGGAGAACATGCAAATATTAAGCAACAGCACAACCATCAAAAGCTTTGGCTGCAAAGAAGCTGACCTCACAATCAATTGATTTTGTTTGATGGGAATAAGAATAGGTCTCAATTAGCCTCATATCAATTCTACCATTTATAACACGTCCAAGCTGGCTTGATTGTTCATAGGCAAGCTTCAGCTGGGATGGGCCTAGATTTGCATTAATATTCATTCCAAATTAAGCTAAAGATCAAATTCAATGTCAGTTTTTTAATGCAACAAATGTGTATGAAACCTCAATCTTTATTTTCTACCTAAACAAGTAAATAAACTAACAAGAAGGAAAACAAAATCCTGTATCCGTTAGATTAATGAAAAACCCAGGCAGAAATTAACGTTGATATATGAGCATTACCTCATGTAACTCCACTTTTGAAACCTCAATTTTTTCTCCTTTTGCAAACTGAGGAAGATTTTTCTCATTTACAGCCAACCATGGCATTATAGACGTAAATCCAGGAAATGTAACACGCTGCCCTGTGCAGTAGAAGGATTCTCCACCTATTGAAAATTCCACCTTTGTCCTAAGAAAACATCAAATGAATTAATACGAAAATTAAGAAGTGAGGAAAAGCTATCTTACTCATAAAGGAAACCAGTTTTCGTTGAAAGTGTTTGGCTCACCAACTAAATCTTAACAAGATAAATGAAAAAGAAACAAGAGATTAAAAGAAAAATTAACAAAGCATTAATATTCTTCACCCTTCCCACCCAATGAAAGGGAAAAATAATCTCAGAACCCAAATAAGACAAGGAATTTAATATAGTTATACTTAAATGCAGCAAATCTTGGCATCAAACTCAATAAGTAGACCAAATTTGGAAATACCAGACTAACATCTAATTGCTCTACCTTCTAATTTTTTATCTGTCGGGAAAAAGAGCATAAAACATTAAGTCAATTCCCAAAGATGGTTGTAGTGCTATGTCAATTTCCAAAGATGGCTGCGGTGCTACAAAATATTGGTTTACCTTATATACTTGCAGTCAGGAGACACAGTCCCCATAAAATGTTGACAAACATACTGGTATAATCTCCAAGCATCTTTTCCCAGTATATCCTCGGTTGCTGAACGCATTGGAGTAATAGGAGGATGATCACCTGCATCTGTTCCTAACCGTGGTTTACAAAAGTCTTCAGCAAGCAGCCCACGGACATAATCACCCCATATTGGATTATCTGTTTGAGCCCGGAGTGCACCCTTGAAGTCAAATGAAGAAGGATACGCTGTGCTTTCAGTACGTGGATAGCTAAATTGCACCATTGGGCAAAAAATAGAAAAAAAACATTCAGGTTCCAGCCCTGTGTTGTATACATATATATAAATATATATGCATATATAGAAAGAAAATCACAATCGAAGTTTGCACTTACTTTTTCTTTTAACTACTAAATTTATAGGCAATTTACAAAATCCTTCTCAGAATCATGTAAAAGAATTTTTCGAAGCATACCCTTGATCCTTGAAATAAAATTAAGCAGCAAGCTTTGAAAAAGAAAATACATTTTATCCGATGGCCCCAAAGATATAAGCAATAACGAAAGAAGATATAAATGACATAAAATAGGTTAGGTTATTTTGTCAGTAGTCAGAAGCAACTTATTTTTTTTCTTAGGTAATTAGAGGACCAAATAGCTCCAATATTTTATCAAATAAAATCTGCATGAGGACAGAAGGCCATTCAGAATCTTATATCACATTTACTGTTTCTTATTTCTGAATGTAAATCACTCTATTCCCCAGGGGTTCCTGTCCTATTACTGATTCCTGCCAAAAATATGAAGACCAAGAATGGAGAAGCAGGTAGACATTGGATCCTCGTGACAAGGGTTTGTGGATATGGATGTGGATTGGCTCTTGATGGAAAAACTTTCTGATTGGTTTAGCCTCAAGGTGGCTTCTACTGGAGTTGTTTCTGGAATGACGTGTGGTGTGGGGTACTTTCCCTGCATGTCCTAACCCCTTATCTCTTCTCTTGGGCTGGAGAAACTTTGTGCGTGATTGTTTCTTGGTTGTCACTGGCCAAGCGCTTTAGGATGTGAGAATTCGTGAAACCTGAATGATTAGGAGGAGAGCATCTGCTTTCTCCAATATCTTGCGTCCCTGCAGATACACCTGCATGAGGGTTTGAAATGGTCCAGAAGCTTAATCCTAAGCATCCTTCTGTGTCAAATCATTTTACCTCCACCTTTTTATTCTATGGAGGATTTTGGGACCTTATTAATATTTTAATTGACATATAAATATTTTTGTACATGAGTTGGCACCCCCTTGGTACTTGTGAGAAAAGTCATTTTACCT